TCCAATTAATTGGTTTATTAATCAAATCTACCGGATGAATTGGGATCCGCATAAATTCAAATTAACAAAGTAAAAAAATACCATATTTGTAAAACAAAGCAAACAATTACCGGTGAAGTTGTGTTTCGATAGAACTTGCAAAAATCTTGTAATCCATTACATGAATTAATTAAAGGTTATGCGGGCTTTTTTTTAATGATAAGCTTTTCCTTTCACTTTTTTTTTTAATTTATCAATCACATTCACATGTTAATTAATTTCCAGTCTATTTATGCCATCAAATCTTTTATTATAATCATGATAGACATCCGTCTTTAACTATAAATTTTTAATATGATGTTTTCTAATTTTGTTAAGGTTTTAATCTAATTTCGGTAAGTTTAAAATACTTATTTGATAATAATATAAATAAATGTTCCCATCCCCAACCCATTAATGATAACAATAATATAAAAAACAACAAGGAAAGTGAGAATGACTGTAATGATTTAGATAAAGTAGCATTATTGAAAGTTTCGAAATGTTGAAGTATCAAAATTTTGCATATGAATTTTTCCTAAATCATATAGGAACCATTTCCCATTTTTCAACAGTTGCGTTGGCTTTCTTTATCCTTGACACTTTCTTATAATTTAACAATAATTACAAAAGGCAAATACAATTATCTTTTTATATAAATAATTGCCTAGAAGACATGATAAATTACATAAAAAAAATTAAAGGATGCGCGTTTTTGCTAATTAATGCTTAACCGGAATTTGAATTTTTGAAACAATCAATTGGTTGCGACTAAAGTTTTTTGCTCTTATTATTATTATTTATGGTAATAATCAATTAACAACCTAAATTAAAAGTTCTAACTTTTGTGCCAAAAATAATTAAACATAATTTCATGTGAATATGACTTATAAAAAATGGAAATTCATATATACGTTTATCTTATTGGAAAATTTTAATTAGCTGATTTGTAAAAAATTACCTCTTAGTGGAGAGAGCTTTGGCCCATTTATCTCTGCTGCTGCAGACATAACATCCTCAATCAGAATCAAAGTGAAGATTTTCACTTCAATCACTATACACCCCGGTATGGTCTTGGGGAGAACGAATATCACAACTATCCTTAAAATAATTCAGGAATAGCCAGTTTCAAAAAATCGAGTCAAATAATTTTTTTCAAAGTTTACACAAAGGTGACTATGCAAAAAGAAACCGTTTGCTTTG